TCCAGGGGCGCCGTACAATGGCAGACCCTGCGCTCTGACCCCAAGCTTCTCTCCCTGTCTGTGTGTCTGTGTCTCCCTGGAGAAAAGCTGGGGTAGGCGAAAAGACGCATTCCTAATGCAAGAAATTGTATAGGGCTAATAAAGAAACATTACATTAACATTACATTACATTATTTATATCAAAAGTCTAAGATCACTAATATAGACATAATTTAAAGTTTCTGCATCCAATCAGCAGTACTCATCTGAAGTTTCACTGAAGTTACAGGTCGGCCTTTGATTCTAGATCAGTCTCTCATTCCCACGCTGTATCTCGTCTGTAGTCCTGCTGTGGCCCATAACCACTCCGTCGTCGGCAGTCTGATCAGCGGTTTCTCTCCCCCACAGGACAACTCGCTTCGCCTCCTTCCCTGACCATCTGGTCATTCAGATCAAGAAGTTCACGTTTGGCCTGGACTGGGTGCCCAAGAAGCTGGGTGTGTTCCTGTTACTTCTTCTGCTAGCACTAGAAGCATTGCGTTAGTAGTGGTGGAGGTTTAATAGCGGTGGTGACCTAATTTGTTTTAATTACTGTGAGCTGTAGTTCTCCTGTGTTCATACAGAGGTGTCATCCATTTGTGTTATTATACTATTATCATCAGTCTTTTAAACAATCATTACTACCCTCTGATGTCACTATTTATCATTATCACTGCCTGAAGTTTCTGTTAATGATCATATTTCGTAGTATTTAGCATTATCACCCGTCAATAGTCCAATCAGTAGACCAATAGCATGGGTTTGTGTGTTTATAGCTATTATTAGTGACGCGACGGACTGTGTTGTCTTTGCCAGACGTCAGTATTGATGTTCCGGACTCGCTGGATCTGAGTGCGCTCCGGGGGGCGGGGCTGCAGCCCGGGGAGGAGGAGCTGCCTGACCTGGCCCCGCCCCCGCTCGTGACCCCTGACGTGGAGGTGAAAGGTATCCCGGGGGGTTTCCACGGCAACGAGGAGGACGACTCGCTCTGCTCTCCGCTGCTGTGTCAGTCTGTCTTTTCCTCTTCCTGTTTGCCTGCCTCTGTCCTTTCCCGTCTCCCTCGACCTCTGTAGCGCCGGTTTCCCTCGGTCAGTCCATTCATCCGTCTCTGTCTCGTTTTTGTCTTCGATGTCATCTTGAATCCGTTTGTCCTCTTTATCTCACTCTGATGTGTCCGTTTTTCTGTCTCGGCACTCCATCATTGTCTTGTTCTGCGTTTTCCCCGTCTCTCGCCTCCTTGTAGTGTCCGTGTCCTCCAGTGTCCAATCGGTATCGCTGTCCCCCCCTCTCCCAGTGAATATTAACCCCCTCGTCTCTCTGCCTCAGCCCCCGTGTTAGACGAGTCGACGGTGGGCCAGCTCATCGAGATGGGCTTCCCGATAGAGGCCTGCAGGAAGGCAGTGTATTACACCGGCAACACTGGCATCGACTCGGCCATGAACTGGGTCATGACCCACATGGACGACCCCGGTGAGTCCTTTTTGCACCCGTGTGCCTCCCTGGTGTGTCCATGCCTCCCTCTTTTCTGGGTGTGAGGATCTCAGTGTCGCCTTGCCTTGTTTGCTGTTGCCTTACGGCTGACTCATCTCGGCAGATTTCTCCGCCCCCCTGGTGCTGCCGGGCTCGAGCTCCGCCCCCGGGGGCACGCCCACCTCCCAGACCACGCCCACGGAGTCTGTTTCCGAGGAGCACCTAGCAACCATCATCTCCATGGGCTTCAGCCGCGACCAGGCCTCTCGGGCGCTGAGGGCCACTGTGAGTACAGGGACACACAGCGATCTGGCTCCCAGCTTCCAGTCAATGGGTCTTATAATGTTTAATGGCAATACTGGCAATAATTACAGAATTGCCAAAGTAGTAACCGTTTGCACACTTATTTTAGACTGATTTGATTGAAGTTCTAGGACTAAAATTTGGTATCCCAGTGTATTCTATTATAAGGGCCTTTCGTTGGTAGGTTTTAGCTGCACTTTCAAAAAAGCAAGCAAATTGACTTAACCCAAGTTAATGTTACCCCTAAGTTAGAGATCTTTACTTTATTAGCTAGAGGTGCTTACTAAATATTGAATTTAGGGTGTCTTGGTTTGACTGTTTTGAACGCCAGAGCAAAAACTAAATGTCCCCAATGTATTCTCAACAGGGATCTTTGTTTTTACACATTTCCAGAAGTTATGACAGTGATCAGAGAGTGTTTCAGGGCACCGGATGTAAACCAGTTATAAGATTATATCCCCAGAAGAGTAAAATCTTAATATCTGCTACGTCTTTATTTGAAGTTCAGGTTTATAGCTCTCAGTCGACTTGTGATGTTTCATGTAGGTGTTCTTTCTTAAAAGAGCCTCATCTGGGAGAGCGTAAGTACCCAGAGCAACGCCTTCATGTGTACAGGAAGTCAGAACAGTGAAGAGCCAGATTTTAAAAGGCTAACAGATTGTCTGTCCTTCTCCTAAACCCGTCGTGTTCCAAAACTCCGAAAGTCCCAAAACCGGGACTGATAAGAGCCCCCGTGCGCAAGAAGGGAGTGAGCAGCGTGTGTGCCGAGACCTCTGGGATAGAAACGCCAGGACCGCCAGTGGGCGTCGGAGAGATCGTTGTATTTAGTCAGGGTCGTGTCCACTGCTCCACTCATATCATTGGGAGTATCAAAAGGACTACAGAAACCTATTTAAAAACTAAACCAGCAAATGCAAAAAAAAAACCCAACTAAATAGCTGGTTAATTGGAAGTGATCTCATGAAATGCTTGGACCTGCTGCGCTGTCCCCCGTGAGAGACGTATCCCAGTGGTCCTGTTGTTTCCAGGTCTGTTTGCAGTGCGATCTCTTCCAAACGAGCACCGCGAGGCAAGTTGCAGCACACACAAGCGCTGAGACGGTGTGTGGTGTTGCCAAGACTGAGATAGCGCGGCGTCTCTCTCTCTCTGTCTGTCTCAGAGCAACGTGCTCGAGAGGGCGGTGGACTGGATCTTCTCCCACCTGGACGACCTGGACTCCATGGACGTGTCGGAGGGCCGGTCGGCGGCAGACTCGGTCAGCGAGAGGGAGCCCCCCCAGGGACCCCGTGTCCGGGACGGACCAGGGAGTGAGTTCAAGAGGGAGGGAGGGCTGTCGGTGTGGTGTTCAGGGAGGTTCAGTGTGTCTGTGTGGTGTTCAGGGAGGTTCAGTATGTGTGTGTGGTGTTCGGGGAGGTTCAGTGTGTCTAGTGGGTGGTGTACAAGGAGGTTCAGTGTGTCTAGTGTGGGTGGTGTTCAAGGAGGTTCAGTGTATCTAGTGTGTTTGTGGTGTTCAAGGAGGTGCAGTGGGTGTGTGTGTGGTGTTCAAGCAGGGTCAGTGTGTGTGTGGTTTTCAAGGAGGTTCAGTATGTGTGGTGTGTGTGTGTGTGGTGTTCAGGGAGGTTCAGTGTGTCTAGTGGGTGGTGTTCAGGGAGGTTCATTGTGTCTAGTGTGGGTGGTGTTCATGGAGGTTCATTGTGTCTAGTGTGGGTGGTGTTCAAGGAGGTTCATTGTGTCTAGTGTGGGTGGTGTTCAAGGAGGTTCA